GGTTTTTAAATACCATAGCTACTGTAGGAATTGTTTGTGAGCATCTTTTCAAACATCCATGGATCTATAAACAAATTAAGGTAAGTTTAATTCTTCAAATACTTTGCTAAAGTATTTGTGAGCAATAATAAACATAAATAAAATAACAAAGATAAATAAAATATACAATACTTATATAAGTTTAATAGTAAAGAAGCCAGTTATGGTGCCTAGTCTAATATACAAAGCAGTAAGATAATAACTTGGGAATTTTTTTATTCTCTGACATATTTGCAGTCAATATATTCCTACCACATACTCAATTATCTGCAAACACATCACTCTCTAAATATCTACACAACTTAAAATATACCGTTCCCAAAATACTTTCAGCTAGAGACAAATTAATCAATTATTTCTCCTTGCAATTAATGCACTTTCAGGACCACCTCTCTCAACCTATCCCATGGGTTCTCACAAAAAAGACCTGTGACTGTATCCTGTGTTATGGAATGAACCTAATTTCCTGGCCTTCAAAAATAAAAAAAAAACTCCTCTCAAAACATGGCTTTTCCATAGAGCTAACGCTGTGAAGGCTACCTACAGTCTACAAAAATGGGGAACATAAACAGCATTATGTACATAAATAAAAATCTTTACCTCAAAACACTTCAATCCTTTAAATTATCAATTTATGTCAGATCATATTAATTCAAGTTCTGAACTTCATTAACTATATGTAAAATGTGAAACTTGAACTAATGAAGAAGCAGTGATCTCTCTTTGCACCATGTGTTCTTTAAAAAGACAAACTATTCAAAAGCTTCTACGAGGCAAGAAAGAAATGGGTTCATATCCAAAATTTACAAGGAACCATGTAAAACAGCAATGTAGGGCCATTATAAAATTACAGTCAGCTGTATTTTTATAACAGCACCATGAATTTAAATGTCCAAATGTTAAAATATTCTGATGAAACCAAGAATTAACTACTGCTTCTCTTTTAAGTTAGCTCAGATATCTCAAAGATTATAAATCACATTCATTGTGAGTTTGTCCACTTGTATTATTCATAAAAAGTGAAAAGAAGGAAAACATGTGTCTTTAACCATATGAATTTCAACTTCACTATTGCAATTCTATACATGTCTACTCAGAAATTATTCCCATTGATTTCAGCAGACTTCCAGTTAAGTACATAGTTTAATAATTTTTTAATTAGGACTAATATGGAATGGAATAAGCGATGCAAAGTAATACCCTGAATACTTAAGTTCCCAATAAATTTTAGTGCTGAATTCCAAAAATACTAAACAAATTCACCCCGATTTAAATTCTCTATAGGTGCCTTACAATTAGTGCTCCATATGTATGTGAATGTAACAGTAAAACTTTGCTTTAGTGTTATATTCTGTTATTAATGCTACAGTATAAGAAATATATGATCCAAAAATGCAATTAAACTTTTTCCATATAGAATTAAGTTAACTTCACCTGAACTTATATTCAAGTTGCATTATTTCAATTAAATTTTACGCATGCAATTAGATCTTAACACGCTAAAATTAAAATAAATTTAAGAGATGGGTTACATCAAAATAATTATTGGAATTTAAAAACTTTTGTTTTTACAAGAAATAAATATTGAAGTCCAATAGTGAACACTTATGCAGTACCAAAATGTTAAGTGTTTCAATATCAAAATAACTTGTTATAATACTGAAAGAGAAAATAAGCTGATTCCACGCTTAACTATTGTTTTGAATATAATCTAGATCAGTTTCATTTAACTGGTGCTCCAAATAGGTTGGAGTTCAACAGCCTTAATACCTCAGTGGGAATGGCCAGTGAGAGTCAGGTCTAACTAGTCTAGGGGAAGCTGTTCTTGAAAACATGTCCCAATATTGATACCAAGTATCACATATATTTGTGTTTGCAGTGCAAAAATAGTGTGCTTTACACTCTGTAATAAAATGTAATAATCCATTATATTTAATTTGAAAGAATATAAACAAAAAAGGCAGAAGAAAGTCTGCCTCAGTTTCCTTGCATTTAAAATATGTCTACTCAGAAGACCAACCAAGGCTTATATAGAAGTACAGCCTTTGTACTTTGTACTTTGATCAGTTTTGAAGGCCATCATATGTAAGTAGTAAAACAGAACATACCCCAATTCATGATGCACTTCTGTTTAAAAAGTACATCTTCAATATTGCATATTAGAGAAATGTCAAGATAGCCTTCGCCCCTTATTTTCCCATAAATACCCACACTTAGACCAACAGTCTAAGTTTTTGGCAATTATTATACCAATCAAAAGAACAAAACTTGCCAACCCCTTTCCAAGCAATTGGTCCATTTTTAAAAAGAAGCATAACAACGTACTATTTTCATTTCTCCAGACTACTATAGCCACTATTGTAGAAGGAAAGTTGAGCCTGAATTTGTCATTTAAGAACAATTATATATACTGCTACAATGTATTTTATTACTTTAGAGATAATACTTTCCAAAGTTTCTGCCAACTTAGATTACTCAAATCCATAGAAAGAATTAGAATTGTGAGGAAATTCTTAGAATGTGTAAAAATAAATAGTGCTTTTACTTAAAATTCTTAGTAACTATTTATGTAGTAAGACAATATTTTGTGAAAAGTATTTTAAAAAATATATTTAAAATATATTCAAAGTTAGAGGTTTGCAAAGTTCCTCACATGTTTAGCAAGATCACTAGTGTTTATGACAGCTAACTTTAGTTTCCCCTGAAATACCAGCATGTTACCAAGACTTTCAATCTCATTTCATCTTACTTTCCATAAGAACAGAACATTTAATATTCACTAATATACTCAGATTGTAGTGGTCACTATACTTAGGCCATTAGAAAACAAAAAAGAAAAAAATAAAGAAATAGTTAGAAAGTGAAACCAGACAAGTTCTGCCAAAGGAAATGATAAATAAAATGCAGGCAGTTCTATGAAAGTGAGTTCCTAAAACTCTTATTCTCTTTCTATAAAACCTTCTGGTGTCAAACTTTTTATTTCAAAAAGGTTGAAATTCCAAAAATACAATAGACATTTGTTTAAGATTGGACAGTACATATGGCAAAATACTGGAATGTGATATTACAGAATCATATGTATTTTGAAAATTGTTAATAATGCTTGCCCTAAAGCTGTTGCTACTCTTTAGTGTTACAGAATAATAGTATTTCAACAATCAGCTGGAACTGCACTTTTCTTGAATACTGTACTATAATACTAAATAATTTACTCTGATTTGCATGCCTAGGTTTACTAATTTCATATCTAATATTATTCAGTGGAAAAACACTTAACTTTATTATTATGTTTAGAATTTCCTACCTCATATTTATACTATGTTTTGTATGAAAGAGTCTTAACTTTTTAAGATAACATCCTTATTGAAAATATATCTGAAAAACCCAATCTCAACAGCCAAGATCTCTGTATCATAATCAAGAACATAGATTTCACTAAGTATTAATTCATCAAAGTGTACAAATCATTACTTAGAGAAGTTTATTACAAACATGACACAGTAAACGGCAACAGCACATTTATTTGGGAGTTGTTTTCACTAATTTTACTAACAATTTATTCTCTGCATAAATATGTCATTTAAAATAAGGACTTATAACCTGCAATTTAAATGGAATGACATCTTCACACCTTTCAGAACATCCTTGTCACTAGCAAACCTCTTCATAACAGTATCCCAAAAGCATTACAGATAAATGCATACTGATCATAAAACCTCATTTTCTGTCACTTGGTTTAATGGTGTTGATCTAATTCATTTTTATATCCACAACAAAAAGTATCAATTGTTTAATCTTGAAACTAACAACTGAGCTGCAGACATGTAAAGTGGGGGAGGGACAGAATCCCATCTGTAGTAAGCTCAGAATAACAAAGAAACAAACACATAGAAAAGTAACAAGATACACATGCACAAAACAACCAGACCAAATGGCAGTCCCACATACACCCCCTACTCTTTGTACCTAACACAAGAGAAATGGGAGGAAAAGAGAGAGAGAGAGAAGAGAGAAGAAGGTACACATCTCCAGTCACTGCAAACATGTGCCAGAGCAGGAGTGTGAAATCCCAAAGGTGTCCTTGCACTGAGCTTTGTATCCATGCAAAATGGGCTGCCCCAGGGTGAGGGGGGCAAGAGAGACTTCAGAATAACAAGTTGCTGAAGAAACGGAATTTTCCCAGCACTACTCGGGCTACCAAGACAAATTAAAAGGCAAAAGGGGGGGGGGAGAGAGAGGGGGGGGAGAAAAAAGAATAAGGGAGGAGAGCAAAAACCGCCGCCGCAGCAGCTTTACTACGAAGCCTCGATCATCAAAGCAGGAGCATCTTCAAGGTAATAAAACTTCCTCGGCGGCAGCATCAGGGAAGAAGAAAATGAACCCCACGGAAAAACGGCCTAGAAAAAAAGATCATCCTGGGGAGAAGGAGTGGGGGGGAAATCGTCCTTTTCCCTTCCCCTCTCTTTGCAAAATGTGTCATTTCTCTCCCCCCCCCCCAACACAGACACACACACACACTCTCTCTCCAATGTGTCACCTAACCCCTCCCGCTCCACCACCACCTCCTCCTCCTCCTCCTCCTCTCACAGAAACTTACTTCAATCCTCACAGGTGACAGAGAAAGGACATGCCCCCTTCCCGCATCCCTAGGCATTATACCTCCGGGTGAGGGAGAGAGAGAGATGGGGGGGGGGCGGGTGAATTACCCTGAAGTTGTGGTTCCTCATCTCCAAGTTGGCTCCGGAGTCTTCCATGGTGGACTCCCTCCTCCCAGCGCGCACCCACACACCATCCACCCTTTTTCTCTCTTTCTCCCCCCCCCCACCACCACCCCCCGAAACTCCCGAGGCAGGCAACAGAGGACCGGGGGGGTGGGGGGGGGTGGAAGAGAGGGGGAGAGAAAGAAAAGGGGGAAGAGGGGAGGGGGGAAGAGAGAATATCCAAAAGGTGGGATACTACACCCTGCTGGTGGTGGTGATGTTGCCGCCGAGGTGGTCTGGCTGGGGTCCCCCTGGCAGGACCTCTCTTTGAGGGGGAAAGGAGTCCTCTTCATAGGGAGAAGGCGGTGCAGCTGCTCCTCTGGGCCTCCCTGTCCCCCTCTTCTTGGCTCCTCTCTCTCTCTCCTCCTCCTCTCACTTTCTTTAATCTAAGCTGGGAGTGGAAGATGGTTGGTTGGTTGCTCCCTCCTCCTCCTCCTCCTCCTGCTTTTCTCTTCTCTCTCTCTCCTCTGAGGGGTCCTTTTCCTTCCCCTTTCCCAGGGGGGCTCCTCCTGCAGAGGGGAGGAGGGGACAGGCAGGAAGAAAGGAACGAAGCAGAAGAGGCGCAGAAGAAGAGAAACTGTGACACAAAAACAAGCCGAGAAGCTGAACTCTTCTTCAATCCCATTCACCCGGCCCGGCCGCAGCACCCGCACGCCTGAATCCCTCCGCCACCGGCCCTCCGTTTTCTTTTTCTTTTTTTTTTTTTTTCCCTCCCCTGCTTTGCTTTGCTTTGCTGTGCTTTGCTTTGCTTTTGCCTGGCCTGCCAGCGGCGCGCGCTCCTGACTCCCTCGCTTGCCCGCGCGCCCCCGACACAACTCTCTCGCACACAAACGCGGCTTACTTCGGCCGCTCTCCGAAGCGAAGAAGGAGCCGAGGTTTTTGGGGACAAAAGCGGAGGAGGAGGAGGAGGAGGCCTCCCCTTCAACCGGGGCTCCCCACCTTTATCTCCCCTATGAATGAAGGAGGAGGGGGTGGCCGGCCTGCTCGGGGAGAGGAGGGGGCGCCTCAAGGCTTCTCCAGAGGGACTACTTGACGTGTCGGTGCAGCGAATTTATTTCCCTTTGCCTAAGGAACGGGCTGTGGTGCGGCACCCATTGCCTAGGGAAAAAACCCGGATGTAAAGTGAGTGAAACTAAAGTAGAGTGAAGTAGGGCAGCAAACTCTCGCAGAGCAGCGGTAGCAGCGGTGGCAGGAAAAGATCACGCACCGGGGCAGGCAGAGGAGGGAGGGAGGAAACGAAGCAGGGCTCATGCACTGGGGCAGGCGGTGGGAGCAGCGGCAGCCAGGGGAAGCCAGAAGTGCGAGCATCTTTTTTTCCCCCCCTATTGCAAGTGGCTCTGCGCAGGAAGCGGATACACTAAGGAATGTGGAGAAATGCAGCCGAGCATCCTCGCTCGCTCGCCCCCCCACCCCGCCCCAATGTAAAGGATTCTGCACAGGAAGCGAATGCACCAGGGCAATAGGAAAAGAACAACAGCAGCAGCAGCAGCAGCGAACAAGCTGGTAGTGTCCTCGCAAACGTGCTCTTCACCCATTTGCAAAAGAATCCGTACAGGAAGTTGATGCACCAAAGGCAGGAATAATAATTATTATTATTATTATAATAAAAAAAAAAGAACAATCGCCCCAGTGCAAGGGGCTTTGCACAGGAAGTGGATGCACCAAGGGCAGCGGCAACACACAGGCATCTTTAGCCTGGCGTACGGGATTTTTGCACAGGAAGCTGACATACCGGAGGAGGGAAAGGGGTGTGAGAGACCAAGAATTCTCACCATCATCCCAAACCGAGGAGCTTGGACAGGAAGTTGATGCAACAGGGCAGTAAGGGCTGCGAGGTTTGGGGAGGGGGGGGCGAGTAGGGAGGGAGAGAAAAATAACTATACATGCACCATTCTAACAATGGGAAGAGCCCTAGGATTCTACCTAGCTGAAAGAAAATAATCGCTGCAATAAATGGAGGTCATTGCTACAAAGTTAACGTATTTAGGGTGGCTGGGTAAAATTAAAAGGAGAGGGCGAGTTCTTGAGTGACTTCATAATAGACAAGCTGAGGTTATAGAACCATAGCTGACCACAAACCAGCCGACCATGTTTTAATTGAATGTATTGTGTGAACTGAGCCAGTGGGGTTAGTTAATGGTTGTATTGCTTGAGCATAAGCAGTTGGAACATTTTTGCAAATCCTGGAAAGCGTCTTGTGCAAGCACTACCAGAGAAATATCTTGCTAGTGTACCAAAGTAGAAGAAAGATGTATCATATTAGCATCCCAGGCATAACTTGAGTGAGCAGGGTGTACTCTGTAAAATCAATATGTATGTTTACTTACTTGATTGTAAGATTCTTTTCTTATCTGTGTTTATGTGTCTTAATGTTAGGTTTTAATTGAAGTTTATAATGCTTACGGTTGTTCATAAGATTTTCTGAGCACCAGAAAACTTCTGTAATTCTAAGCTAATGTTAGAAATTAAATTAACACAAAGTGAAAATAAGATTTATCTTTGTTATCCAATGTTTGATATGTTTGAAATTTTGTCTGTGTTGGAATTGCAATAAAGTTTTATTATAACTTTTTATTTATAAATGTACTTTTATACAAAGACTGTATACTTGTACTATATTTTGAATTAAATACTCAGATCAATTAGCCTTGATCAAACTAAAATTTGGATTCTAAATATATTGCTAAAATTCATGCAAAATAAATGAGAGATGTTTCATATAATTGTGAATAAAATATCATACACATACTGTATAATTTTTGCCAGATTGTATCAAACTATTTGCAGTACATGTAAAACTTAATGACATAGCAGATATATTTAGATTCATGATGTTAGATGTAATGTTATGGTTTGTTTTCAGTTTCAACTATGCATTGAGTTGATTATGCCCTTCATAATACTTAATAGAAAGCTAGAAGTTTAATATACTTTACATATATTAAATACTGAATGAGAACATTTAAAGTTTTTTGTGAGTGTGGTAACATACAAATTTGTTAGTCATTAACCATTTGAAAATTAGATCATATACCCATCAACTTCAAAGGCAGTAGGCCATTTAACAGCAGCTAAGAGGGAGTAATAATGGTTCATGTATTAAAGAAGCTATAGCGTATTTCCTTAAGCTATATTCCATGGCTTATAAATTACTTTGTTTGACAGAATACATAATACATATTATCCCAAATAAATCACTGTAGTAGTTAATAAGATGTGTAAACCTCTTAATTGAGCTGGGTTCAGTTTTAGAATGAACAAGGGACTAAATGTAAGTTTAATTCACCCTTACCAAAAATGTTTCAGATACTGTGCTCGTCTTTAGATAAGCTACAAATTGAAGAGCTGTATGGACAGGTTGAGATGATGCTACTTACATTCTCACTCTGGTTAACACAAAGCATGCTTGGGCATCTCTCAAAAAGTTTAATTAATTTCAGTCCATCTCCAAAGATTGGATCCAGCCCTCTGTCTTTTGGGGCTGCAGTAGGAAAAGATGCCTTGCACAAACATTTTTGAAAGTTTATGACCTGTATTTGATCAATAAATTGTGCAGGAAAACCTGGATGAATTAATTGTGCAATTAGTAATGCAATAATTATGAGTAAAGGATGAGAGTAATATGGCAGATATATTTTATAATCTTGGACTTTCTGCTGATGTTTAAAATAGGAGCAGCTTGTGGCATTCTGTGATAGTAAAGCTTCCAGCAACTGTAGGCATGTTCAGTTTTGTTTGTCACAACTTTTAATTGGACAATACAGGGGAAGCCACAGATTCTGAAGAACTGATAATCTTAGAGAACAGTATTCCGTTGTTTTGTATTGGTAAGAAATTGGCTAATGTAAAGGTTTTCTTCAAATGAATATTCATCCTATAATTATATTTTATAAAGTACATAATTTTACTTTTGAATAGTACGTAATCATTTCCCAATTAGTATATAGATTTATGTTTTTGCTACCTCTTTATGTAATTTCTGCCATAATTATTTTAGCTTTTTAATATATGTGTTGTGTGTCTGTATACATACACACAGAGAGACACAAAGTCGTAGAGGATTTGCCTAGAAAACTTTCAAGGCAGTATAGAAGTACTTTAAATAAGTAGTAAGCTGCCCTTTGCTTGAAATTGATTTTTTTAAGGACCATACAGTTACAATTTTTAATCACTTCACTTGCATTTAACCCATTTTAATGGACTTGCTTAGATAAATAATAGAAATGCAAGTTGAGGCAAACCTGTGCTAGAATTATTTTTGTTTCTGAAGTATGTCTTTCAAATATAATTACTGCATTATAGGCCCTTTATGGAGTGTACTGGTTTTGTAATGCCATTCTGCATTTAGGAGGTTTTTGCAAAGTCATACTGATAATTTCAGGGGCATTTCTTTCGCAGATAAAGTGAAGGCAATATAGATGTTCAGTGTTACACTATTGATAGCTTTACCTTTTTATTAAAATCTTACGGACATATATACGGGAAAACATACCTAGAAAGGTCCTATTGCCATCTTTTTTCCCTTCCTCCCTTATGTTTACCTCCAAACTGAGATCATATACTGCACTAAGCATAGTAAGTTTTAATCATGGTTTATTGAATAAGGCTTATATAACATTGTTAAAAATAAGTTTATAAACTATGATGATTGAGTTCATAATACAAGTTAAACCAAAAGCGAGCAACATTATTATCTTCTACTCCATGAGGACAGAAATTCATTTTAAAAATTGCATTTCCAGACATCTTTGAACTTGGGTGCAAACATTTCAAAGGGAGAGAGTGTACTGTGTATTAGAAATAGAATCTGATGATGACACTCTACTGTACACAAAACTGAGAAATAAGTTTAAAAGATGACTGGATTTCTAAGTTCTGCAGTATCATCTTGCTTATTTAGTAGTAAAATCCATTTTAATTTTGGGATGCACAGTTTTTACTGAAAAAGAAGTTCTGGTTTCAATGTGATAATCTTCAAGAAAATGGAAATTTAAATTTAAATGTGTTCAAGAATTTGGAAATTTAAAATGAAAATTGGCATTGATTTTATTCACTTTTTAAATTATTTTACATTATCACAATATTCTATTTTGAATGCTTGGTTGATCTTTTTATTCTATGTTAATCTGCTTTGGAAATAGAAACTTGGACCAGATGGGACATAGGAGTTACATTAAAGTTGCTAATGTTCTTAGATAATTCCAATATTCAAGACCGTCAAAAGCCATTTGAAAGTTTCAGCAGTTTTAGTAGCACTACAGTCAAAGGTACTCTACTTTTCTTCTGAATCAGAATAGAGCTGGAAGGGACTTTGGAGGTCTTCTAATACAGCCCCCTGCTCAAGCAGGAAATCCTATACCATTTCAGACAGTGACTGTCCAGTCTCTTCTTAAACACCTCCAGTGATGAAGCGCTCACAACTTCTGAAGGCCTATTCCACTAGTTAATTGTCCTCACTGTTAGGAAGTTTCTCCTTAATTCTAGGTTGCTTCTCTCCTTGATTAGTTTCCATCCATTGTTTCTCATCCTGCACGCTGGTGCTTTGGAAAATAAATTGACCCCTTCTCTATGTGGCAGTCTCTCAAATACTGAAATACTGCTATCATGTCCCCTCTAGTCCTTTTCTTTAGACTAGCCAAACCCATATCCTACAACCGTTCTTCATATGTTTTAGTCTCCAGGCCTTTAATCACATTAGTTGCTCTTCTTTGCACTTTTTCCAATGTCTCAACATCTTTTTTATAATGTGACCAAAACTCTGCAGTATTCCAGTTTTCTGATCTTACTAAGACTTTATAAAGCAGTACTTAATACTTAATGTGATTTTGATTCTATGCCTCTATTTATACAACCAAGGATTGTATTAGCTTTTTTGGCTGCTGCCACACAATGCTGAGTCATGTTTAAGTGATTGTTCACTAGGACTCCAAGGTTCCTCTCACAGTTACTGTTTTTGATCCAGGTCTCGCCTAATCTGTATTTGTACCTTTGGCTTTTCCGGCCCAGGTATAAAACCTTGTTTTTTTCCACATTAAATTTCATTTTGTTAGATAGGGCCCATTGTTCAAATCTGTCAAGATCTTTTTGGATTCTGAGCTTGTCTTCTGGGGTATTGGCTATTCCTATCAGCTTAGT